ACATGCCTTGCTCTTATATGATTTAAAATAAAATAGTTATGAGCTTAATGGCAACATATGCTTACATAATCATGTTTACTATTGGTATTCTTATTTCTACATGTAGAATCTGTTTTACATTTTTCAGTATGGTGTTAAATAACATAATGTGGCATTTGTCTTTGGCAAAAAAAATATAAAAGCTAAATCGCTTAACAACTTTCTGCTTAAGTAGAAAAATTTGTTCGCACTTTCGCAACTAAATATATTGTAGAATCACTGATCCAGAGTTATTTTCTACATTTCTCTTCTGGGTCCTAAATCTATGCAGGAAAAAGACAGCTATAATAATATTTGAGGCCATTATAAAACCAGATTCCTTTTCAAGTTATCTGAGCCACTCCTTGATTAAAGATGCTCCTTCACATTTGACAAGTCAAACACACACATCACAGGAGCCCACGTGTTACCTGATGGCCACAAGAGCAAACTAGGAGCACATCTCTTAACATGTCCCCAACCTGCACTGACAAATCATTGTATCTACACACTCTGTCAGCATGCTAAGAATCTAAATTTCAGAACGTTTTAGAAGTTTTTCATATTACTTAAGAGAAAGCCTACACTAACAAATCCTATTATCCACAGAATCACTTTAATAATGATCTCCAAAGTCATTTCCTTGAGGATTCTTTCACACTGCTGAATTTTCATCACATGTTTCATTATTCTGGGCCTCTGAAAACCAAACCTAAAATCTAAAATGGTGTTCATGGGAATAACATAAAGGAGCTAGGCTTAGATTTCTCTTTCAAAGCAATAAACATAAACATATTTGTATGTGCGTACACTACCATAAATAAGAATCCCTCTCTTGGTGAAACTCAAATTACATAGGAACCCCCAAAAGCCCTTGAAAACTTAATTAACTGTGAAATCAAAAGGGAAAATTCAATAGTACCTAATGGATCTTAAATTATTTTACTTTCATATCCAGGGTTTTAATGGGCATAAAACATTGATTTTTTTTCCAATACGTTAATTTACAATGTCCCTTACCTCAAAAAAAGGATACTGTGAATTACATGAAACTTCAAAATCAACATTGCTTAGAAAATAACTTTGATGTTAACAATTCTGAAACACGTCAACACTGTCATTAAGTTTAGCAACTTCAGATTAAATTATTGGATACCAATTTTAGAACTTCCTAACTGACAATGCTCTGTGCCTGTTCGAGTGTGTGTGTTTAAGTAGACCCTAGTGGAATATGAGGGAGACCCCCCAAAAAAGAATTTATTTATTAAAAATTGTGTATTTATTCTTACATGTTTAAATTCCGGTCACATTCAAAGCACTCTCTGTTTGATGCAAAACACCTACTGAGATGGTTTTTTCTACGGCTCAAAACAGTTTGTGAACTCATCAGTGTTGATGCCTTTTAGTGCTTTGGCTAGTTTTTGTTTCACCTCTTCCATATCAGCAAAACATTTCCCTTTGATAAGTTTTTTTCATCCAGGGAAACAAACAAAAAAAAGTTGCTGGGGGTAAGGATGGGTGAATAAGGGTGTGGCATGGGATCATGACGTTTTGGGTCAAAAGTACTGAACACTCAGTGTGGTGTGGGCAGGTGTGCTTGTAAATCACCCATCATGAAATGGGCACACGCATTGAAAGAATCTCCCCAAAAAATTCACCGAAGTCAAGTGTAGCCTCCCACAACAATGGTAGTTGGTACACTGATGTTGATGAGTTCCTGGAATACTCACTTTACAGGGAAGCTGGTACAATAAGGGATCCAATCCATCCTCCAAAAGATAATTCCAGGGATTTTTGCCCCCCACCCTATATGGCGCAATACTGTAACTTATAAGTTTGCTTTATGGAAACTTAAAACATATTTTGTAATTGAAATAAAAGTGAAATGGATAGGTTTTCAAAATTCCACAAAATTTTTTTAAACCATAAAGCGGTTTAATTGTATTAGCATTTAACTGCACTCAGGATCTTAAGTGGAGAGTAAAGGAGGTTACAGAAAAAGGAGAATTTCCTTTGGCTCTTCTGGCCACAAGTTCAGCCTAAGTAAAACAGTAAAAATAAAAGGGAAGCCGGGCTCGGTGGCTCAGCCTGTAAATCCCGCGCCTTTGGGAGGCTGAGGTGAGTGGATTGCCTGAGCCCGCGGGTTCGAGACCCGCCTGGGCAACGAGACCTCATCTCTACAATAAATCAAAAAATCAGCCGGGCGTGGTAGCGCATGCCTGTAATTCCGGCTACTCGGAAGGCTGGGGCCGAAGGATCGCTGGAGCCCAGCAGGTCGAGGCTGTGGTGGCCGGGAGCGGCCACTGCACTCCAGTCTGGGCGACCGTGTGAGACTCCATCTCAAAAAAATTAATAAATAAATAAATAAAATAAAAGGGAGGTAGAACAGTCCAATTAGGATTCAGAGTAAGATGGGGTTGGGTCAAGACCTTGGAAAAGCCACTTTATCTCCCTATTCTTTAGGTTTCTCCTTTGTAAAGTGATGATATTTACAGTTCCTCAAGGCTGTTGAGAACACCAAAAGGGACCACGGATATAAAGCTCTCAGCACAATGCCCAGCATAAAACTCCATACTTTTTAGTGACAATACAGCTGGGTTTCACTACTGTGGAACAACTTGTCTTAAAACATTCTCTCACCACTGCCTTTTTTTTTTTTTTTGCAGCCCTCACTTATTCATTTCAAGCCCATAGTGTCCTCCTGTTTTCTACCCTATGCCTGTCACTAAGACCTGCTCTCATGCCCAAGGCATTTCATGTTTCAATATCACTACTGCCTTTCCACTGCTATGAAACATGCAGGAAAAAAAAGTACAGTTTATTTCTGCTATATACTGTGAGGAAAGCAAAGTGATTAAACTAATTCATGAAAGTATGGAAGTACCTTAATTCTTCTTGAGGTATTACCATAGTTACAAAAAAACAAGTGATTGAAAAGCAATGTTAAAAAAAAAAAAAACTTGAGGCAATACTCAGGAAAGTTATTTTTGTATTGGGCAATTGCTATAGGCAGGCTAATCCTTCAGAAATGTCTACACACTATCCATCCTAACTGGGAAGACTCTTCTAAGAAATGTGTATACCCGGAAGTTGTTTTTTTCACCATACACCGATTTCAGAAATTTACTGAAACGTCTTTTACTTAAAATGAACAAAATGAAAAAAAACTTTAACTTCAGGTGTGGTAGCAAAAACTGTTTTACCTGAGACAGGAAAAATGAGAATAGAAAAAGAAAGGTGGAAAGGAGAAAGGCAAAGCAGTGGGAATTAAGGCAATAAAGATAGAGAGGACAGAAGAAGCAGCCAGTTGGAAGGTGTGAAGACCCAGGCTCCCTCACTGTATAAAAGGAAAGAGAGCCATCGGCATAGCTAACTCCATAGAGAAGTTATATGTAATTCAAAGGACCTGGGATACCGCACAAGAGTCAGGACACTGGAAAATGTTACTTGCATCAAGAAAAGTGATTATGTGTAAAGTCATTCTTAATCAGCAAATTATTGCAGGACAGTGAATGTCTTTCCTTTTATTTGGAAATGTCACAAAATATCAAATCATCAGATGACATTTGAACCAATGTGTACATTTTTAGCTTCACAAATAGATTTCATTAATTTTTAAGATATGAAGGACATATTTTCAATTATTTTTATTAGTTTATCATTGTTACCGATTTTGGTGCACAGTTACTTTTCTTCCTTTTATTTTATTTATCCAGTTTGAGGGAGGGAATAAGTACATTTTTTAAGTCTCTTTTCTACAAAACATTACAAAAGTTTGTGAAGTATAGCAAGGAAAATCTAGGCTTAACTGAAATATGTAAGCTGCACAACCCTGAAAATATGAATCAAAAGTTCCAAGTCTAAATCAACTGAATACATTACTGACTCCAAAATCATGGATTAAACAAAAGAAATTATGCTTGCATTGATGTGTGAATCTGCACCCTTTCTTGGTACCATGTAATAGATGCAACTGCTCAGCTCTAGCAGTCCTTGTAGCCGAATTACCATATTATTCAAATGTATCTATCATTTATATGTAAATAGACAAGATGAATGGCTTCTTCATAAGACAACAGTTTCCAAATGGCAAACAGACACAGGCAAACATAAGCAAGATAAAAATGCTACAAATATTCATTCTTTTATATTTTTAAGGGGAAATGGAAACTACCTCAAATTTTTTAAAAAAGTAGTATGGTAATTACAAAATGGGATCTTAATACACTCACAATACCAACAGCTATTCTTCTCAATAAAAGTCTGCACGAATGTCATTTGTATCTTATAAATTACATGTTCTAAGATCCATCAGTGAGAATTGCAATGCTAATTATCATAGTTACGTTTCATGATTCTAGTTAACTGTTGAAGTGATGCTACATAAATACCATATGTTTTTCTAAGGGAAATGGAGAAAGATTAATTATGAGTTCAAGTCCAAGTCTTCTATCAATAATACCCTCAACACAGTAAGATCATTACATTGTGTGCTATGCAGATTGGAATTTTAATTAATAGCTGACACACCAACTGAGGGGAAAACTTTGAAGTCTAAATTGTAAGTACCAGACCTTCTTCCACAAACACAAAAAAAGCATCTTAATAAGGATGCTTGAACAAACCAAGTTACAAGTCCAAAGAAAAAACATTTTTATAGTCTATGAAATTCTTCTGAAAGGGATCACCATCATGCTGTTTAATGCCAGGTGATAAACCTAAAAATTACAGTGTACCTTAGTAACAGATAGGTTATAAATAGATATGCTATCTGATCAAAATTCAACTTAGCATTTTTCTGGGTTTTTATCAAGAAACACATTATTCAAAAATCTCATATATGGCCACTATATTATACAAACATTACAACTTTCACACATTCAAATAAAATACTGAAGAACAGGAAACAAAGCCCTATGATAACACTCAAGAATTTCATTCATATTTTAAAAGTCTGAATTCAAAAGTCTTATTTTACTTACCACATATTCAAACACAAGTGTCAGTGTCTCCTTGGTATGAATGATGTCATGAAGTAACACTATGTTAGCATGTTTTAGTCCTTTTAACAGAGAAGCTGTAAAATAAATTGAACAGAGAGACAATTTATAACAGATTACAATAAACTAATATGTACCATTATCACTATGGCACACTGTCAGATGAGCGATATCTATTTTCCCAAGTTCCATTTTCCAGTTTTACTTTGTTTCAGAGATGGGTTCTCACCGTGTTACACAAGCTGCACTCAAACTCCTGGGCTCGAATGATCCTTGTGCCTCGGTTTCCTAAGTAGCTGAGACTACAGGTGCGCAACACAGTGCCTAGCCAGAAAAATAAAGTCTGCACTTAAATAAAACTCTCCTCAATTATTTCATCTGTCATCTGTTATTAATCTCTAATTAGGTTCCATTATGGTGAGAAAACATGAGTGGTATAATTTCAATGCTTTAAAATTTTTAAGGTTTATTCTATTACCCAGAATATGGTTTATCTTGGTATATGTTCCATATGTATAGATATGTTTTCTGCTGATGTTGGGTGGGATAGTCTGTCAATTTGATCTTATTATTTGATTGTATCATTGAATTCTATATTCTTACAGATTTTCTGAATAGTGGGTCTATCAATTGCTGAGAGAGGGGTGTTGACATCCCTAACCACAATTGAGGGTTTATCAGTTTCTCACTTGATTTTTGCCTGTTTTTTGCTTTTTGTACTTTGAAGCTCAGTTGCTTACTGTGTACACATTTAGGATTGCTGTATCATCTTTATGAACTGATCGTTTTATCAATATATAATATCCCTCCTCTTTGTCCCTGGTAATTTTATTTGTTCTGAAGTCATCTTTGTATAGTCAATCACCTTTCTTTTGATTCAAGATAAGGTGTATCTTTTTACATTTTTTTTTTTTAATCTTACCGATATCACTATAATTGAAGTGAGTTTCTTATAGACTGCATATAATTTGGTCAGGGTATTTTGCCAATTTCTGACTTTTCATTGATGTGCTTGGGCCATTTGCATTTAATGTAAATGTTAATATGTTGGGTTACCTGTCATTTGAATCTCTTTTTCCTTTAGGTATCTTGCAATTTTGCTCTCATTTCTGATTTGATTCTGTCTTTTCTTCTATATTTCCCCAAAATTCAATTAATTCTCATTTCATTTTGTCTTTTGTCCATTTATCTTTGCAGCTTTTGTATTTCTAATTCAAGGTAGGATTTTTGTTTGTTTGTTTCATACACCCAGAAACCTAATCGAGAATATTTAATTCATAGTTCAGTGTTGTGCAGTTTTCTTTAATTTGATAGCTGATTTTTTCAAGCGTTTATATCAGTTAAAATGCACTAATTCCTATTTCCTAATTTTGAGGAAGAGGTTTTTGTTTGTTTTAAATAGATATAGGCTACTTTGTTCTATTCTTATTCATTCAGTGGACTGGGTTCCTAGTCCAAAAGTCATGTTTACTTCTGTCAGTTTTTCCCTCTTCTATGTAGTTTTTATAGTTGGTGCTGGTAGGAGAAAGGGGGCGAGTTTGCAGGGCCTTATTTCTTTTTCATTTCTACAGCATCCTTAACTGCCTTCCATCTTTACTTTCACTATCCTGCCTTACAGAGTAATACCTTTTCTCTACTCAGCTGAATCTCCCACAGAAGCAATGCTACCAAGGGCCACGGGTTCCTATCCCATTCACATTCAGCCTTCTTTCCTGTCATCAGTGTTGTCAACTACATGGAGTCCCCGCTTTCTCTTTCTGGAGTGATTATGTCTCTGCTTTGACTAAGACCTCCACAGCCCTGTTCTCGTTTTCTTAAGCCTCTATTAAGTTTCCTCTCTAATCACAGGTTTGTGGCTATCTCCTAATGCTCTCGAACGTGTGAACCGTATGTGCTTTCACTTGCTCCACATGTTCGACATTTGGAGGGGTGTGAGTGAGAGGATTCAAGCTCAGGCAGGCACCATTCATTGTCCTCCAAACCCCTTTTCCCAAAGGAATAGGAATTTTTTTTTTCCCTTGATGCACCTAGATCAAGACCTGATACACAGAAAGGACTCAACAAATTTACTGAATGTCATTTATCTGGGGAGCCCAGGGGTTGAGGAGCTATTCCTTGAGTGAGAAGCACCTTTGGCCACCTCACAGCTCTTCCTCAAGATTGACCTATCTTCCTTTTACCCTGAGAACAGCACCAGCCACAAATCTAAGGCCAATGCTACTCAGTTTCAACGCAGAGCCCCCTGGATATCTCTCCTGGAAGAAACCCAGAGAAGACCAGCTACTAACATGAACGGTTCAAGACCTAGGCGGAACAGCTTGTTCTGCCTCTTAAATGGCATTCTTCCCACTTTCGAGCCTATTTTCTTTTGATTAAAAGAAGGAAGGCACACCCTACCCTTCCATGGTCAGATTATCTGCAACACTGCTTATCTCAGTAAAAACAAATTGAGATTCAGATTTCACTTTTTATAAATAATGCCACAAAGGATATAACTGAGCATTTAGTTTTCCTCCATCTTTTGGATTATCTCCCTATAAAGAACTATGAAAAACAGAAGTACAAAGAATTGAAAGTGGCGGGAAACTTCGGGGAGGGGGGTGAGGGGCGGGGAGGTGGAAGTGACAGTAGTCGATATCTGCCTGGGGAAGGCGGGGGTACACCTCATTGATAAGGGTACTTGCATGGTGAATATTTGTATACCTAGCCCTGAATTGTACCCCACAATTTTAAATAAAAAATAAAAGGGGGAAAAAAAGAAAGAAAGAAAAACAGAAATACAGGGTAAAAAAGACATGAACATATTTACAAGGCATTACTTATTAAATCGGGGCAGCGAATTGAGTCTTACATTTTTCTAATTCACATGAGAATAAAAACTGGGTGAGATGGGGAAAATATGTAAAAAATATTGTACAGTGCAAGTAACACACTCTATCAAACAGCTGAAACTCCTGTTAAATTAATATATGGGCACTGTATATACTCATATGTACAAGTACTAATTTAAGGATAAATTCTTCTTCATATCTCAGTGAGAACGAAAATAATCAGGATTATTTCCCCCTTCAGAAATGACCAAATCAGAATACTCAAAAAACAGAAATTTCCTCTATCATGATTTTAGAAACTCTATGTCTTCAATTTTTTTTTTTGCTTAAAAATATATACGAACTGAAGGAGTAAGAAAAAGAATACTTTAGGCCAGAAATGGTGGTTCATGCCTGAAATCCTAGCACTTTGGGAGGCTGAGGCGAGAGGACTGTCTGATCCCAGTAGTCCAAGGACAGTGTGGGGAACATGGTAAGATCTCATCTATACAACAAATCAAAAAAGTAGCTGAGCGTGGTGGTATATGCCTGTAATCCCAGCTACTTGGAAGGCTGAAGCAGAAGGATGACCTAAGTTCAGCACGTCAAGACTATGGTAGCTGTGCTCATGCCACATCATTCCACCCTGGGCAACAGAGTGAGGCTCCAACTCAAAAAAAAAAAAAAAAACTTGTAATAATTCATTTATTCATCAAAATTTATTCATCAAACATTTATTCAGAAACTAGTTGCAGGCACTGGTGGCCCTGAACAGACCTTCATACCTTGAAAACTATTCAACAATATTACAAGAACACATCTTTGAAGAGAGATTTACAACACCAAGAGTGAATCCTAATGTAAACTATGAATGTGGGGAGATAATAATATGTCAATATCTAAGTTCATCAATTGCAACAAATGTACCACTCTGGTGGGGGATACTGATAGCAGGGAAGCTGTGCATGTGTAAGGGGTGGGGGATATATGAAAATTCTGTATTTTCCATTCAATGTTAGGGCTAAAACTTCCCTAAAAGGTAAAGCTATTTAAAAAAATAATAAAAATTAAGACATTTACCTATGTTTTAACATAGTTAAAGAAAAAGTAAATCGCAATTTTCTAACATTTTACTCGAACAAAATGGTAACTTAGATATGCAATCACCATGCAAAAGAGGCTGCACTGCACAGTCCCAGAGAAAGCAAAGGTAAAGCGTGTAGACTGAGTTCAGGTATAAACTCAAAGAACATGAGCTCTCAGTATTAGAGTTATTGTTACTGCTGTAATTGCCATTGTCTTTCTCAAGCAAAGCTGTTTCAGAACAATGTACTATATATATTCTTAATCCCAAGACAAACTTTTATAAATACACAGTCTCAAAAGGTGATTGAAACTGACAATTGATTGGTGTGGCTGGTTCTAGCAACAGAAGACAATAAGGATTGCGTTGCCTCTGAAACTAAATTAGGGTCATCGACATATATTCATTCCAAAGCCAGAGAAGTATAAACTGACTATTGTGGGAAGTCCTCATCTTTCACCCCACATGACTGCCATAAGCACCTTACTGTAAAAAATCTACAAATGCATTTCACCTGAGCTTTATAAACTAGCCCTCAAGTGAGAAAATAATTACAATCACACAATCAAAGGACAGTATGCGAACTTTTAAGAAACAATTGCTACAGACTTACCATAGGGATTAGCGTTATTTTAATAATTTACGATTTTTCTTCTTTTAATTATTCAACTAGCCCATCAGCCTTAAAAAATTAAAACTTTATTTAGATTTCAGATATTAATCTGGGGAAGGGCTTCAGATTTGCTCATTTTTTTGAGTTGGAGTCTCACTCCGTTGCCCAGGTTGGAGTGCAGTGGCACACTCACGGCCACCCCAGCATTGACCCGCTGGGCTCTGGCGATCCTTCTGCCTCAGTCTTCCAAGTAGCTGGAACTACAGGCACACGCTACCATGCCCAGCTAATTTTTTAATTTTTATTGTAGAGACAAGGTCTCGCCAAGTTCCTATGAATCTGCTGGCTCAGGCAATCCACTCTCCTCAACCTCCCAAAATGCTGGGATTACAGGCTGAGCCACCAAACCTGGCCTGATTTGCTCATTTTTAAAAGCATACTCGATTCAGCACTAGTCTTCTGAAGTGGCCTCATTCTCAGAGATCATTATTTCAAACCACATCAGGGTAATTTAAAAGGCTGGCAAGATATGGTACTTAATACCTATCTTATTCAGGAACTTTCACAAAT